CCTCCATGGAAAAATCCACAAATGCTCACTTTAATTACACTATTTCAGTCATATTCTGCCTGCAGTTTCCTCCAAATCCAAATTAAAAGTTTCTCATCATATTTTATTTTTATTATTATGGTTTTTTTTTTCTCTCCACCCATTTCATCAACCAAATAAATGGAATCCAAGAGCATCGATACATTTTTAATTTTTGGATGATATTTAAAGCAAATTTGATCCTCAGATTATCAAGACATTCTTACAAGATGTCTATCTCCTGTAAATACAAAACTCTTACCTCATATATTTTTCAAACGTATCAAGGGTTTTTTTTTTTTTTGTCGGCATTAATTCATTCTCCCAGTGAATGGAAATCCAATTGCTTCGTCATGATCAAAACATCTACTGCAGGAGCATAATAACAATAAGTGGGTGCTTCGGCCAAAAAAATTTCTAAAAAAATATGTGGACAAAAATAATTTTTTTTATTTTTTGTAGACAAAATTAGTGGCAATTTATTGGGTGTACCCAGGGCACCATATTTTTCCTCCTATCTTTTACATTATTAGTCCTTATTGTATTTTTTTACTTTTTCTAATAATCTTCCTATTATTTGCAAGTTTAGTTCCGGTTAATTTTTTCTCTCCTCAAAAAAAAACATCTCTAATATTTAAACAAGCATATCTCTCAACCCGTAAAGAATTAGAAAACGTGTTACACATGAAATTTATTGTTCTCGTCGAAATCTATCCAACAAGATCCATAGTGAATATTTTTTTCAGGCTTAAAAATGATTAAATTCTGATGGCCAGAATGAAGGTGAATATCCAGTTTTACAAGATGGATAACCAAGTTATTTTAAATTGGTTATCCGTTGTGTTCATGCTGATTATCCAACCAGTTTGAACTGGTTATCCAACTTGTTTGTACTGGATATCATCTATTTTGTTTTTATGCCTATCAAACTTGTTTGTAATGGATATCCCATTTGTTTGTACTGAATATCCAACTCGCTTGTACTGGATATCCATCAATTTGGTTTAAATGCTTATCCAACTTGTTCTGTAGTTGTAATTCAACGGGTTTGTATGCATATCCGACTTGTTTGTGCTGGATATCCAACTCGCTTGTAGTGGATATCCAACTTGTTTGTACCGGATATCCATCCATTTGGTTTGTATGCCTATCCAACTTGTTTGTACTGGATATCCATCCATTTAGTTTGTATGCCTATCTAACTTGTTTGTACGCACTGGATATTTATCCAACTTATTTATAGTGGATATCCATCCATTTGGTTTGTATGTCTATCCAACTTGTTTGTAATGGATATCTCACTTGTTTGTACTGGATATCCATTTGGGTTGTACTGGATATCAAACTCGTTTGTACTGGATATCCATCCATTTGGTTTTTCTTTTTATTATTATTATTCTTTTAAAAAAAATGGTTGTCCAACGCATTCATATTGATTATCCAACTGTTCTGTATAGATTATCCGACCATTTTTATTCTCTACTCTTTGCAAAAGTCCTTGTCCAGTTTTTTTGTACTGACTATCCAACCGTTTTGTATGCTTTATCCAATCGTTTTCACTGATTATCCAAACATAATTTCTCTTCTTTTGAGAAAAAAATATGTCCAATGTGTTCATACTGATAATCCATCCGACTTCTCGGTGATGGATGGTTATTCGACTTTTTTTTCTTACTCTTTTAATGAAAATGATTGTCTTGATTTTTTTTGTACTGGTTATCCAACCAGCTTGTACTACTTATCCAATTATTTTCAATGATTATCCAAATTGTTTGTAATGCTTATCCAAATATTTTATTTTTTATTCTTTTCTTCTTTTTTTTTGAAGATGAGTGAATGTAAAAAATATGACTGGATAACAAGTACAAACAAAATGGATAATCAGTCCAAACCGGTTGGATAGATCTCGTCGAGCACTATAAAATTTATCTATAATTAGTGTTCTAATTCTTTACGGATCAAGAAATATATGTAATACAAGAATATCAGTCTAAACTAAGTTGGTTATCCATCTTCTTTTTTCTTTTTTTCTTTTTTGAAAAGTGAATGTAAAAAATATGATTGGATAAAACAAAATAGGTAATTAGCCCAAACCGGTTGGATAATCAGTATGAACACAACGGATAATCATTTTTCAGTTTATTCATTTCTGCCCGTAAGATTTAAATGCAATCATATTTTAAATGCAATCATTTAAAGTTCAAAAGAAATATTCAACATTGATCTTATCGGATAGATCTCGTCGAGCACTATAAATTTTATATATAATTCGTGTTATAATTCTTTACGGATCAAAAGATATAAGGAACACAACAATATGAATGTAAAATAAGTTGGTTATCCATCTTCTTAAACTGGATATCCAATGTGTTCATATTGATTATCCAACTTCTTTGTGGTGGTTATCCAGTATTTTGTTTTTCTTGCTCTTTTATGAAAATGATTGTCAAACTTTTTTGTATTGATTATCCAATTATTTTCTATTGATTATCCAAATTATTTGCAATACTTATCCAATCATTTTTTCTTTTTTTTTTTTGAATAGTGAATGTCAAAAATATGATTGGATAACAAGTACAAACAGAATGGATAATCAATCCAAACCGGTTGGATAATCAGTAGGAACACAACGAATAACCATTTTTCAAAGAAAAACGAAAAACACATTTCTTCATTTCTTTCCGTAAAATTTAAATGCATTTAAAGTTCAAAAAAAATATTCAACCTGGATCTTATTGGATAGATTTCGTCGAGCACTATAAATTTCATGTATAATTCGCATTCTAATTCTTTACGGATCAAGAGATATATGCAATACAAGAATCTTAATTTAAACTAAACTGGTTATCCATATTTCTAAACTAGATATCCATCTTATTCTGCCTATCGAAATTTAGTCATTTTTAAACTCGAAAAAAATATTCGACATGGATCTTGTTGGATAGATCTCGACGAGTATTATAATTTTCATATGTAACACGTTCTCTAATTTTTTACGGATCATGAGATATGATCGTTTAAAGATTAGAGATATTTTTTAAAGGAGAGAAAAATAAAATCAAAGGGACTAAACCTGTAAATTATAGGATGTTATTTAGAAAAGTGAAAAAAAAAGTGTAGTAAAGACTAGTAGTGTAAAAAATAAGAGGGGAATTATACTGCCCCCGATATACTAGATAGAGACTCAAACTAGTTGTCTCGGATTTGTCAAATCCGAATCTATCACATAGTTGTAATATAAGGAGATTCGGATTTGCCAAATTCGAATCTAATACAAAATGGATTCGAATTTGGCAAATCCGAGACAATTAGAGTTGTCTACTCCACTCAGGAATATATATTTTTGTGTAGATTCTACGATTAAAAATTAATTGGGTAAAAAAACTCAATGTTGATGATCATTGGTTTATGTACCGAAATTTTTTTTTTTACCTAACTCATAAAGGGTGGGGAAAAAAACCCCGTCGTACTCTTCCTACTCTTTTTGTCATTTTATAACTAATACTTCCTTGTTCCATAAAACTATAGCAGTACAATAAGATAGACTATTTTTTAAAAAAATATAAAAGACATTTTTTAAGTTAATATATATGGTCTCACATTAATAAACAAGGTACACAACTGTGAGAAAATGAAAAAAAATGAAAAACCAATTAATAACATTATGTACCATGTAGTATAATTAAATTTATACAAAAATTTAGCTCACCTTTAAAAGTTCTTTTAGAGCATGCATCCACAATAGTTTACACTACGATAAGTATAATACTATAAATTTCTAAAGTTACACTTTTATTTAACTTTTCACTATATTCGTTTATATTATAAAAGTGTGTTTTAAAATAAAATAGTTATATTATCATCGTTAATTTACATTAATTACATATATTAGAAAAATATATATATATATTATACTATGTAACAATTCTTACAACGTTAAAAATTGTTACGCTCAACGCCACGATAATAAACACTATAATAAAAAAATAGTTATATACTTGTTGTTTATTACCATTATGGATACTCTCAGTGTATACATAGATAGAGATAGATATAAAAAGAGGTGGGCTTCGTCAGTTCCCACAAAATACAGCGTTCATATAACGTGGATTCACTAAATTTTAAGGACCAACAAAAGCTCCTGATCCTCTATTATTCTACTCAGGCTTCTACCCGGTTGTAATTATACACTTCCATTCTACAAATGAATTGTTTCGTATACTCCCTCCGTCCCACAATTATTGTCCATTTTGCCCAAAAAATTTTGTTCCAAAATTATTGTCCAATTTGACTTTTTATGGATCAAGTTACACATTTGTCCTTAGTAAAAAATATTATCCATAAAATTTTAGTGGTTAAACAATTACTTATATAGGGGTATATCCGGTTGTTTAAGGTAAAACATAATTAAGTTTGACCAAAAATAAAATCTTTCATTTTAATAAAACTGGACAATAATTATAGGACGGAGGGAGTATTACATTTCTTGGTTTGCGAGAATTTGTAGCTATAGAATTTCATATTTATTCAGAAAATTTGGAATATGTGCCGCCCGAAGGATAACAAATGACAAATGGATGATATAGTAACTAAGTACCACATTCATTGTCGCCATGCAGATTAAACTCTACCGTATCTTACTTTGATCTGGCCGAAAAACATTGCCCCCACACTTCGATTATATTTATGTTTCCTAAGCCAAATCGTAAAAAAAAAAAAACTCTACATCCATTTTTCACAACGTGGGAAGCTTCGAAGAATATATCTTTTAAGGTGAACACAATGTTTGCTGAAAAACAGAATTTGACAGCTTATTATTGACCCCTATGTTCATTTTTCCCTAATTTAAACTAGAAAATTACTACAAAGCATCAAAAATCAAAGCGGTTCTTGGGTTTTTTTGGGGGGAAGAAAACGTTTTAATGGTACGTTTAGCTCTGCAAGAGAAGCAGTAAAAGAAGGTAATACTGCTTTTTTTTTTTAATATATACTTCAATTATGCTTTCAATATATATATGGAGTTCTCTAAGACTTAAAAAGTTTGAATTTGATGGCTATGAGAGGACCGTTTCATGTATCTATGTGATTTTTATTCACAATTTATTGAGATGGGGCTGTTATACTTGTGATTTGTGTTATTGTGTATCAATTTCAAGAACTAAAAGGGATTTTCAGTTAGTTTATTTTCAATTATGCATGGTAAGTAAGGAAAGATTCAACCCTTGTTGGAGAGTTTTGTTTCTCATTGATCAGGATTAGTCTAGGTAGTGGTTTTGGACACTGAGTGTGTATAATTCAGGATCCTTTGCAATGAATGGTTGTGTAAAGTTTTCTTTTTGCAGTAGGAAATTTTGAATAGGAATGAAGCAGATGCAGAAGATTTTCAAAACGTGTTGCTGGAAAATGAATGCTTTTGTGTAAAGATAAAAGCCCGATATGATATTTGTAGATTGTCAACTCTTTCTTTTTTAAACGATAATGTCTAGTTGATTTAGCATGAGAAATTCTACATGACGAAACACTTAGAAAGGCCTATAAGCATTTGAAACCTCAGTTTCTTTTCTTTGTTACATAGGAGTTTCATTCTGATGTATTAGAAGTAACTGTAGGTGTTAAGGCCGAGGCAATCAGATTGTTTTAAGGAAATTGATTCTGTCTTTTGCAATCATCAATCACATTTTTATGTCTTTCGACGTTGATCAGCCAAATTCATGAGTATTTGTTACGTTGTATCTGTACTTAATATGTATCATGTGTTGTTTTTGACAGTCCAGTAAAGGACGAGGGTGCTTTGCCATTTTTGTTGTTGCAGTGACATCCAGTACTACTTCACACCCAGCACTTGCCATGGGAAATTCTTCGTCAAAGATGTCATCAGCCATGTTCTTTTTCCTAGGAGGGATAGTTCTGCTTGTGATAGTACTTCTGCTATTTTTAATTATCAAGAAGGTCTTAAGAACAAGGAAAGATAAAATGTCTATACCTACCCAAGTTGTGATGAGCCCAGGAGGTAAGTATGATGGTAGATTTTGATCAATAAGGTAGTAGCTCATTGCATCAAGTTCTAACTCCAGTTCTTTCTACATTGTGCTTCAGGAACTAGCAGATGGTTCAGTGGACATCTCCGGACAATAAGCTATTTCGACTTTCAGACACTGAAGAAGGCAACGAAAAATTTTCATTCTAGTAATGTGCTAGGAAGAGGTGGATTTGGACCAGTGTATTTGGTATTGATGATTATTCCTTCTTTTTTATGTCAAAAATTTCCTTGTTCTTTCAATATGTAAAAGAAAAGAGATTGGTAATTCCTCCTGCTTCGGCCATGAAGAAATGATCATCTATATGAAACTTGTTTTTGCAAAATAACTGAATCAGGTTTTTGTGGGAATTTGTCAAGATAATGGATTATTACTAGATATGCTTAGTAGATGATGTCATTTATCTCAGATTCTAAGTTATGTGATATCACTCATCATGTTCAGTTATTACTCCTCTGTACTTGGCTGTTTCAGAATTTCAAAGCAGAAATGTAGTTCAATAGTTTTGTCCTGCAAACAACATTCAATAATGCAGCCTAATGATTATTTATCAGGGGAAACTTGATGATGGGAGAATGGTTGCTGTAAAGCAACTGTCTGTGAATAAATCCCAGCAAGGGGAATCAGAATTTCTCTCTGAGGTTCGGATGATTACCAGTATACAGCATAAGAACCTTGTCCGCCTCATTGGATGCTGTTCAGACGGCGAGCAGAGGCTTCTTGTCTATGAATACATGAAGAATCGAAGTTTGGACCTCATTGTTTATGGTATTTCAGTTATCCTGTTTTGTTTGACTGGATGAGACTTATTTTGTGTAGAACTGTCAAATAAATATCAACAAAACCATCTTTTGAGTAACAACTGGCTAAGAGAGTTGTGGATACTGTCATCGCTGCTATCGTGGTTTAGTTGTTTCCCTCTATATCCTGTAAAGTTCTTATTTTGAATTATTGTGCATGGTAGGTAAAACAGAAACTTATCTGAACTGGAGCACTCGTTTCCAAATAATTATTGGTGTCGCTCGAGGGCTGCAATACTTACATGAGGATTCACATGTAAGAATAGTTCACAGGGACATCAAAGCCAGTAACATTCTTCTTAATGAGAAGTTCCAACCTAGAATTGGAGATTTTGGCCTTGCAAGGTTTTTCCCTGAAGATCAAGCTTATCTCAGCACTACATTTGCCGGAACATTGTAAGTTCTCCAGTGTAGCTTTATGAGAGTGAATTTACCAATTACTTTGCCTTGGACAAATACATTAGGAAATAAATTGACTGTCCTTTCATGATTTCATCACATTTACACTCAAAATTCTGAACTTGTTTCTGTTTAGTTTCATCACATTTGAGATGTTGAATATGCATTCTTTGGCAGCTGAAGAAGGAAAAAGGGTTCATTTCTTGTACCTAAACCAGAAAAATAAGATCCATCCATAATATCACTTTTCGGCTTTCTGATCTGTCCTTTTGATATTCTTTCAGAGGTTATACAGCACCAGAGTATGCCTTGAGAGGAGAATTATCTGAAAAGGCTGATATTTATAGTTTTGGAGTTCTAGTGCTTGAGATCATCAGTTGCAGAAAGAACACTGATCTTACTTTGCCCTCAGAAATGCAATATCTCCCAGAATATGTAAGTTATTATTCCTGCGTTTGCACATTTCCCATTGTAAAGTCTAAAAGTTTCCATGCATTTTCATCATGCTTGTTTTGATTTAGGCTTGGAAGTTATATGAGAAGTCCAGACTGATTGATCTGTTAGACCCGAGATTGTGCAAGGAGGGCGTTGTGGAGAAAGACGTCTTGACAGTACTTCATGTTGCGCTTTTATGCATCCAACCACATGGAAGTCTGAGGCCGCCAATGTCCGCAGTGGTTGCATTGTTAACACACAAATCTGAATCGAATGGGGCGCCAGTGAGGCCGGCATTCTTGGGACGAAAGCGAAGGCCTGATGAGGTACCTTCGCGGGAGACAGTCTCAGAGGTTTTATCCTCACCGCCAAGGAGTGATTCTGCTTCCTTTTATCAACAATCACTCTCAGTTCTGCCTTCTCCTCAGAGGAGCTCTTCTGCTTCCTTTAATAAGCAGCATTCAATCCCGGCTTTGCCTTCTCCACAATGGAGTGATTCTGCCACCTTTTACCGGCAACAAACACCGGTTTTGCCATCTCCGAAGAGGACTAATTCTGCTTCCTTTTACCAACAAGCAGCCATCCCAATCCCAGTTTTGCCTTCTCCTCAAAGGAGTCATGATTCCTCTTCCTTTGCCAGAATGTGAAGCCCCTTTCGCGCTTTCTGCCAACAAATGATTGCACTTCCTTCTCTTAAACATACTATTCAAATTCCCAAGAGGACCAATTCTGCGATCGCAGGACAAGTAAACGTAGCTGAAGAGCAAGAACTGAGATCATTTTGTTAGCATTGTAAAAAGTTTGTATTACTTTCTACATTCTTTTTCTTTTTTTGGTTCTCTTACAACTCTTTGTTTGTACAGAAATGAGGCTTGTAGGATTGCAAGAGTGCGGTTTGCCCAACATTTGGCTGGTTGATTTTCTTCTTCCCACCAGAAAATTGGAGGAAGATATAGGGAAAATAAAACCATCCCAGCAAATTCTTGGGTGTTTCCTTGATTATACAAGCAACATAAAAGCTCTACATCAGGGGTTATTATAATGGCCTAAATCCTAATGCCTTGTCAACAAGTTCCTATCTGACCAGAAAATTCTAACTTTCAACTTCCCAAAGTGTGTGTTTGTGCTGAATCTGAATGGGTTTTTAAATATTTCTAAATTTCCTAGAAACTCTAATTTGATTCCTAAGCATCAAAATTTGCATAACTAAACCTTAATTTCATACCCCAACCCCAACGACCCAACATTGATGTCTCAGACTCTCACTGCATTAGTTGATTTTTGAATAGTATGATGAGTTAATTGCAAAAAACTCCCTCAACTTTTATTGTTTGGAAAAACGCTCCTCAATCAACGTTTTGCGAGACAATAAACTTTCAACGTTTCTAATCTGAGCAATCACTTAGAATTTGAGTATATTTCCGAAACCATTTTCTTTTCCAATTTATACCTCTTCATTTCGTTAGTGTTTCGAATAATAATTTTCTTATTTGTTTGTAATTGAGGTCAACTCAAAACAATCAAACAATTATTTTTATAGGTTCATGTAGAGAAAATATTAGAAGCTAATTTTAAGATAGAAGTCAAAATGTGGTTAATTATGATGTGACAGTGTTAATATGTGACCGTTGATTTCGACGAAAAGGTGCAACGTAGTGATAAGATATCTCTTTACGCTCTAGTAGTAGTTCAGGTAAGACAATTTATTTTTTCAAGGCTTCCACTGGTCGCTTATATTATATTTTCAGCGTGGGAGTTCTCATAAAATTATGAGATATAAATATAATGGTAAGAAGACGTCTCTCATTTGCTATTAATAGGTCCGGTTTGAGTAATAAGAATAGATAATTTCATGAGCTGTATATTGCAAAATAGTGAAACTACAAGTTTGCAGTTAAGTCCAATATAAAAATACGGGTCAAAAGAACATAATGATTTACTAATGATGGTAGTAATAGTGAGTTTTAGTTGGAGACCATATGTAAGAAGAACCGGAATTTCTGTAAAGAGAGATGCCAATGCCATCATGTTTTCCATCCTCCCAACATATCAGTCAATATTTCCCGAAACCCAATAATCTTCTCAGGCCTATTCTCCCAGCTACACCGGCACCAAACCCAAGTAGAATAGCCAACCACAGATCAAATTTTACTCCCTCCATCTGAATTTGCAGGTCGATTTAGGATCGGAGAAATTTTAAAAATGTAAGTCGTTTCACAAATTCTAGGCAAATTAATAATGATTATTTTTTCAATTTTGCTCTTATTAAATGATGCCAATCTATTTTTATTTAATCTTGTTTATTGTTTTAATATAATTAATGAGTGGTAAAACAGATATTTAATACATAAATTAATTGTTGTATGATTGTCTCCTTAGTTTACATTAAGTGATTTACATTTTGAAATATAAGTAGTAGCACAGAGAGAATTCATTAAAACCAAAAAAAGAAGGAAGAAAAAAAAAAACAATTTTCCAATAATTCTTTAACGATGTTGATGGGATCTGTTTGATTTTCTAAACAGTGAAAGAGAGGGAAAAAAAAAGAAGAGAAGCATTGAATTCATATCAGATGTCAGAAGGAGACTTCAATGCTGCTGCTTCTGCTGTTTCTTTCTTTCTTCTTCTTTTTTCAGTCTTTTCTTACAATGACAATATAAATTTTGTTACTGTGCTTGTTTCAGTTCATTAACCATTATATGAATCTTCTTCCATGAACGGTGAACCATGATCCATGCATGCAGGGGAAAAAGAAAAACTCTTTATTAACATTTTGACCCACTTTTTTGCTTTATGATTCAGATGGGTAGACAAAATTCTGGTGATGTTGACATTTCCCTTTTTCAAGTTTTTAACCCTTTCTTTCTAAAGTCTTCAAACCCAAAGTCTTAACATTTTGTCCTTTTATGGAAAAAAAGAAGATTTATTGTTGTTTCCAAAACAAGGCTTTGCAATATGGGCACATAAATCATAATGTGGTGCGTCGTTAGACAAAGGCAAAATTCTGCAGATGTTACTGTTTTCAGCTCATTTTTTTTGGGGTTGTCTTGTTCAGAAATATGAACCCAGAAAAATTAAAAACGATGAAGGAAATGGTAAAAAAGACTTTCACTTTTTCTTTTTTTTTTTTTTTTTTGGCTTGTTCCATTTCATTCTTTCTCCTCCCCCATTCTGTTCTGTCTTACTGTAAATTATGACACCATACTGTATTTTTGCCCTTTCTTTGGGAAAGAAATTGATCAACAGTAAATGCTGAGATGATGAGTGACCACATGAAGTGAAGGGAATGATTCAGACATATTCCATATGAAAAATTAAGGAAAAGTCTATCTGGAGTTTGGCTTAAACTTGATGCCTCAAACCCTGGACAACATCATGTCATATAATTCCAAGGGAAAAAAGAAGATTTCTTTTAATCAGCTTAGAACAGAACGGAATATAATAATAGCACTCAAAATGAAGGCAAAAAAATTACTCATTTTTCACTAATAATTCTTAATTACATAAGTGTAGCACAACTAGAATCTGATCTGAGAGTGAAAATTAAGGCAATCACTCTTCAATCTCTATCTTTTTCTCTCAGCCTAATCAATCAGAATTTAGCCAAACTACCTGTTATGCAAAGGATTTGGCCCTGTTGGAACCATTCTCTTGACATCATTATCAATCTTGTTCCTCCATTCCTTGGAAAAAGAATACTTGGAGAAATGACCTTTGAATGAATTCTTCAGATGACTTGCCCTTGCATCAGCATGATGATCTAATGATGATGATGATGAAGAATCAAAACCAATTTTCTCATCAGAATAGCCTTGTGGGCTCAAAAAGAGCTCTCTTCCTGCAGCATGTCCAGGCACAATTCCAATTCCTGCCAGAATCATATGAACCAGCAACAGCAGAATAGCAGCATAAACTCTCATTGCATAGCAACTGAAAAACTCTGAGTTCAACAAACAGCTTTGTCCACTGATCAGCACAAGAAGAAACTATATATATGTATTACTAATTCAAAAAACACTATGCATGCACAGGAGAAAACCAAACAGAATTGTGGGTTTCTTTTTTTTTTTTTTGATAATTTTTTTTGGTGGGATGTGGGGATATGGATGGAAGGGAAGGAAGGAATGACTAGGGAGGCAAAGGGAATTGGAAGAAGAGTTGGAGCATTTGAGGATGGTGAAAGGAGGTGTTATAATGAAGAGAATTAAGGTATTTTTCCCTCAGCAATGGATATTTATTGCTTCTTATTCTTAGTAGTATATCATGTTGGGATATACAGTAGAAAGTTTGACACATCAACATCTCCATTTCATCAGAAGAAGGCAATGGAAGGGTTCTCTTCTCTCTCCCTCTCTCTTTCTTCTCACCAAACTGTATTTAATGACTCTCCATTGAATTCAATTCTATCAACATGTATAAAACAACAGAACAGAACAGAACAGAACTATATATACCACTATAAACTTATGTCTCCCTATAACTGAATTTTATTTTTATTTTATTTTTTGTATTTTTAGACCCAAATTTGTTTGCTTTTTGTAGGTGTGTGAATAATAATGCTCAATTTCTGTTTAAAGTGAGAACTGATGTAATGAGAAACTGTGTGTGTGTCTCTCTCTTCCTCATGCACTCATGATGCTGACAATTACAGCTGCAGGCCTCTTATTATGATCAACTTGATTACAGTACTTTGGAATTCTGTAGGCCAACCAAATGGTGAGGGCAACCAAAAGGAAAAAAAAAAAAAAAACCTTGTGTTCTAGAGCTCTTTTAGGTCAAAGGATGAAGGAAAATGAAGTGACATTCGAAGGGCTAATGTCAAATTCAATCACTGAAATCTGTTAGGTTGAAAAGGTTTCCCCGGGAACATGGCAATCTATAACACAACAAATATACATGATATATAAACTAAAAAGTCCGTCAAAACCACATGTATTTGGGTTGTCCTGATACAAACACTGACCGCTAACAACAAACGATGATACTAAAATTGTGATCTCGCTTAAAATCACAAATAAGCGGATGATTTTAGGGGCGCCTATGCTCCATAATTACAAGTCATAGGCAGGGTTATTTTTAACTTGAGATAAACTAGCTACCAAAATTGAATACCAACCATATTGCCAACATAGAAGAAGCACATAAGGTTCATCATGAAATGGAAGTGAGCAAACCTAGCTAGAGGTTATGGGCCTTTTGGGGAAGGGTCATTGCCCCTACACAGGTTGAAGATATACATAATATAAGGCATAGTGTACGTAGGGTAGTACGGCCTAATATATGTGGTGGCAATATTTGATTTGAATGGTTTTTGTAGTGTAGAGTAGAGTAGAATAGTTGCTTTATAATTATGCAATGATATGATGATACTATGATTCTTCAGAAAGCATTATGATCTTTGAAGTTTATAGCTTTGTCTTGCAAAATTTGTAGTAACTGACTTTAGAAAAGTAATTTGTGGATGCTCAAAGTTTCCCATTTTTGTGCAACTTATAAAATGATAAGATATTAATGATGTCACAACCCATAAATTACGGTTAATGTGTGAAAATAATTACACTTTCTGTCCTTCATTTTAGATCAATGAATCTTTTTGCACCATTAATTTATGGGAAGAGAATTATTTAATCCCTTTTGCTTTCTTTTTCCCCCTCGATTCGTCATTTGCCAAAACAAAATAAATCTACCCCCACCAAAAACACAATGGAGTAGGTAGTAATAATTTTTGTGCTCTATCTTTTGCTATTACTATAATCGATGTCATTCCTAATGAACATGATTAACTTTGGGAAAATAATCTTATTATATATTTTCGATATTTCTATTTTGTTCTGTTTCAGCAGGTTCATTGGATTTCCCTTCTAATGATGATGCTGCTTTGGAAGCCATGGATTGGAGGGTTTTATTGACGAACTGGCAATTGGCAAATTCCAACTACTCATCATTCCGTTCTTTCCTACGTGACCAAAAAAAAAAAAAAAACACAGAAAACGACCATAGCAGAAGAAAGGATATGGCTTTTCCCTAAATGGCAGCTTCTTCCGCCCTTTCTCCTCCCCTCAAGAATTATTATTCACTCCGGAATTTCGCGTGCTTGCTATTTTCTCTTGTAACTTTACTCCTCATCAGCTGGGAAAATCTTCAACCCCAACTCTCACTTTATTCTTATCTCACTTCATCTTCAAGATCTATTGAGATTCCCATTGCATCAACAAGTCCTCACCCTGATGATGATAATGCCACAGCTTTGCTTAACAAAGATGGGGATAAGGTGCCCATTTCATCAGAATCAAATCTCGAGGAAAAACCCAGCTCAGATGACGCATCAAGATCGAATCTTGGTGGGAATACCTTTGAGAAATCTGCAAATGCCAGTATAAATGAGACTTCGGATTTTGAGGCTCCGGGTTTCTCAAAGTCAGACTCTCCGGATGAGAATAATGAAGAACAAGCCTCAGTTGATAGTAAAGATTCCACTTTGACACAGAAATTTTCATCGGAATCTGGAAATGAGGACAGAAGCGAAAAGGACCCCTCTCATTCTCCAAGCAATGAAAATGTTCAAGAAGTTGGCTCTGTTTCTTGGAGGGATGTAAGTGACTCCATATCGTGGAAAACTTGTGATGTTTACAAGGGAAATTGGGTGAAAGATGAGGAATACCCGCTTTATAAACCGGGTTCTTGTCCTTATGTTGATGAGGCTTTTGATTGTCAAAACAACGGAAGGCCTGATTCAGAGTATTTAAAGTGGCGTTGGAAGCCAGATGGATGTGATCTGCCCAGGTTATTGTCTACCAACACGTTAAATTTTGGAATTGTCATCTTAAATTAATTTTTGATTCTCTTGTTCATATGGTGATCATACTTCTGTGACATGTCTTTATTTAATATTGCTACTGCAGTGACTTGTTCTGATACCACTTTCTTCAGATGACCAATGTTGAACAAGTTGGGTGTGTTTACAGTAGTCTTGTTTTGATTATTTTAGTATCCTGCTGTCATTAGTGATATTTTTTTTTTCTTGTTTGATTAGTAGTTATTTCTATCATTTGTGCGCATTTAGAGGTGAAGGGAATTAAAAAAGCACACATGGTTTCAACTGAGGTATATTATCTAATTAAACTCTTTAACTAAGGTTGTAAAAGAGTATATTGGTTCAAACAGCCTATTGCTGTTGGAAAAAAGGAAAGGAACTTGATGTATTGGGGAAGTACCGGAGTTGGCGTCATTCTTGACTTGGTTATTGCTCTATGTGGGAATCTTCTGGATTGGATTGCTGCAGCAGTTAGGGGATTTCCCCATTAGTTAGATATTCTCTTCTCAAAACCTTCGCATAATAAACAGATCCAGAACATGAATTGGTCTCTTTAACTAATCTATACAGTGCTATGTATGTTCTCGATTCTTAGTTTAGGTTGTAGTGACAACTTGTTGGCTGGCTGGTCAACTGTGAAACTGTTTGGCCACCAAGTTGATTAAATCGATATGAGGATACATGTTGGAGTTAATATGGAAAGGAAAGATAGTTAAATAAACAGCATTGCAGTAGGGCAAGATTGTTTTCATGCTGTAACAACTGTGACAAACTTGGGAGCTATCTACCTGTATGGTCTCATCATACTTTTTTCTGCCTTTGAGGGCTTATACTGACATCATAATAGTTGGAGTTCTTATATCAATTTGATTTGTAAAGCCTACAGAAATCGATGTTGACAGGCTATTATTGCAATTTTAAGATTGAGGATTTTCTAGAAGCGATTGCATTAATGGTTTCCTTCATATATGGTCCATCGTTCTGACTGATCAGTTCTGCTTCCATTTGAAGGTTCTGTTAATAAAGAGATCTGACAAAAACTTTTTTATGTAGCCCACGATTTGGTTCCTCTTCTTACTAGTTGATGATGAATTCTCATATATTATAGCTTCCTTCTGCAAGTTCAGCAAAGTTTATACCGATTCTTGAAGTTCTCTGACCAATATTGATGTAGTGACTTCAGTCTTCGAAGAGAAAAACTCATGGTTTGATTTGTGCAGATTTAATGCAACAGATTTTCTGGTAAGGTTAAGAGGAAAGAGGCTGATGCTGGTTGGAGACTCCATGAATAGAAACCAGTTTGAATCACTTCTTTGTCTTTTACACGAAGGCTTACAAAATAAAAGCAAAATGTATGAAGTCCACGGGTACAAAATAACAAAGGGAAGAGGCTATTATATATTCAAATTTGAGGTTACTCCCTTACTTCCTGAACATAGCTTTTTCCTATTTCAAGAATAGTTTTGCTTTCTCATTGTTATACAGAAATTAATGCATTAAGTTCATCGAGGTACATATATGAACAAAAAGTCTTCGAATATTGTTAAGATTATCCTTAGTGAGAATGATTTATTTTCAAAATATTATTATTCTCTGGGACTCAGTTTCTGCAAGTCCCTTGAGGTACGTATATGAACTGCTTCCACATAGGAATTTCGTTGCATGTTTCTGTTACCGCTTGAGTGCTTTTTTCTTTGTTTTATGCTATCTTTACTTGAGAACTAATTCAAGCAAAACATTCTAACTTGTAGATTACAATTTGACCAGGATTACAACTGCTCTGTGGAGTTTGTGCGATCACATTTCCTTGTCAAGGAAGGCATTCGTATCAACAGGCAAGGGAATTCCAACCCAACTCTGTCAATAGACCGCATAGACAAGTCAGCTGGCCGGTGGCAGCGAGCTGACATTCTTGTCTTCAACACAGGACACTGGTGGACTCACGGAAAAACTGCTAGAGGGTGGGTTTACATGAAATTTCGATATCATAGGTTTTTAATTTTGATGCAATTAAATTGAAATATTGACTGAATGAGAAGCGATATGGCCTCCTAAAGTTTTACCTGAAGCCTTGGTAACCATCATGGCACAAAGATGCGATGGAGTTGATGAATAATTTTTCAGTGAAAAATGGACCTTTATCTTGGAGTAATTTACCAAAATAATTGTGTGTCTGTAACAAGCAGATAATATGCTCACTTCTCTTGCACGACGAGTCTCGTGATCTGGAGATTTAATCAATGAGCTTAAAAGTGTGTTTAATTATGCAGAAAAAATTACTATAAAGAAGGCGACTTCATCTATCCTAAATATGATGCTGTGGAAGCTTATAGAAAAGCTTTAAAGACATGGTCAAAGTGGGTTGATGATAACACAAACAGAGGAAAGCTGATTTTTTATCGTGGCTATTCATCTGCTCATTTCAGGTGTTCATAACATGTTCAGTGCATTGCTTTTCTGTGCCTTTTAAATTTGCTGTGGCTTTTCATTTATGTAGGAATGAACGTTGTCATTCTTATTTTGCTCTTGCTTGGGTGCTCTTTTTCTTAATAGTTTTAGCTTTATGTGGAAGGGAAAAAAAACAAAAGGAAAAAGAGTAGCAATTCAGGAATTATTTATTCTGTTCTTCATTTATGAGAGCCATCTGCAACAGTTGATCATTTTAGTGCAATTTTCAGTTTGGCATTGGTTGTTTATCTTTGTTCATTGAAACAGGGGCGGGGATTGGGATTCTGGTGGAAGTTGTACGAAGGAGACTGAACCTGTTCTAAGTGGTAGCATCTTGGATAGCTATCCATTGAAAATGAAGATAGCGGAGGATATCATTAAGGATATGCAGGTGTCAGTAGTACTATTGAATGTGACAAAATTAACAAATTTCCGGAAAGATGGCCACCCATCTGTATATGGCAAGAAAATAGCCGACGGGCAAAAAGTCTCTGGCAAAAGGCAAGATTGCAGCCATTGGTGCCTTCCCGGGGTCCCTGATGCATGGAATGAACTAATCTATGCCACTTTGGTTGCAAAACAAACTTCTTCCTCAACTGATTGACCTGATATCTGTTTTATACATCATTGTCCTCATTTATACGAAGAAATTAAGCTGCAAACCAGACCTTGAGGTGAAATGAAGGATTACATTACCTGTCGAACAAAGCAGCTGCTGCTTAGCGTGACAATGACATTGCTACATTACCTGCATGTAAAACAGACAGGAAAGCGTATAGAGAAACACATTTGATCTGCATTTGTACAGTATAGTATAATGTGAATGCCAAGATTCAGTTTGTTCTTTTGTCTAGCTATTTCTTGAAAGAAAGAATATCACAATTTGTGGTTATTAAGGATGCTTTGGCAGTAAGCCAGCTAAAACCCTTGTCAAAATGCTAGATATCATTCTTGATGCATCCCACTGGAATGAATGAAATGGCTGAACAATGAAGAGTAACATGGCCTGTTTGAGCCATGTCAGTATCAACCTATCTCAATTTGGTTCCAGGGCAAAGCTTTCTTTTGATTAATGGGGCTTTTGATTTGCCCTTCAAAATGAGAAATTTGTGTGGATTGATAGGGATTTGGAATTTGAATGAGATTGTGATTCCAATTGCAACATTAGAGAGGCATCAATCACATTCACAGCATTCACTATTTTGTCACTTCTCTCTAGATCAATGACAAAGAGTGCGTGTGGTCGGTCACTCGAGTTAACAAAAAAGACAATGGAGTGAAGCGTAAGAAGGATTGATGTTAAAGCCTCTCTCTACTTTTTTCCCCCGTTTCTTTACCAAAAAAGCTCTCAAATTTTCATGCTCTTCTCTTGGAAGATGGGGGAGCTCACATATTTTGCTCTTGTTTTCAATCTTTTGGTTAGCTCTTCTTTTATGGAAGTTTCGCTCCCCTATTATTGGTGGGTTTAGCTCTTCCTTTCTGGAAATCCGGATCTCTCATTTTGAGATTTTTGGTTCCCTTTTGAGTTTTTTTTCTTTGTTTTGTGTGTTTTTTCTGTGTTCTTCAATAGATCTGATGAAGGTGAAGAAGATTCATGGCTCAGTGAGGAAGACCAGACTGAACATGTAGTTGAAAGAAAAACAAGTGAAGGGATGCTTTAGATATGAGACTATTAGGCATTATGGATCTGTGACTCGGAGTCAAATTTGCACTTTTAGTCTAGATCATAATTGACCTTCATCTGTTAGTGTTTTAGTTTACTTTAATACTTTCTTCAGGTGCTATATCTCTAAATTGTAATCAGTGATGTTGTTTCGGTCTAAGCCAAATTAATTTAGCCTTACTCTGTTCACATTATTGAGTTTATCTCTGTTTCTGTGGTAGATATAATGAGTACGACGGACTGCATTAACTCATTGTAAAAGCTTATAATTTGCCTTTTTTTATATTAATAAATATCGCTTTTGAAATTTCAAAAAAATTAAGAAGGATTGATCTTGAGTTTAATTCAAAAAGATTCATTTGATGAATGAAAAAAATTAATCGAATGAGCCCATATTTTGCATACATGTGTCATGACCTGAAAACTCTTCGTGCAAATAAATCGTTAATGAAAAGATACTATCCAACAGGAGATACCATTGGTCATTTGGTTTTTTTTTTTTAATTTAATTTAATTTATAAAAGAATATCAATTTTATATAAGAATTAACCAGCACTGATTGATAAAAAGTTCGGAGACAATAAGCAAACGGTTTACCTCGTTATATAGATTTGGACCGATTGATATCATTTTGAGAGGACTATTTAGTTTATGAAAGGGCCGATTTAGTCTGCATTTCTGTTCATCTTGATAAAATGTTACCCTGAAACAACAAAAAAAATTGTATATATAACCTCAAGAAAAGAAATAAGGTAAAACATTGGCATCGAGATTTTGGCTTCATATAGATGTCCAAATCATATGCAATTTCTTTTTCTACTATGAGGTCCACGACATCGACGGTGAGACAAGTGTATTAAACATCCTTTGTACCCGGAAAAAATGAAAAGAAGAGGACATTAAGCATATTCAATAACAATATCAATTTTTTATATATAAAAGGAGAAGTCTTTAAACAAACCATAGTTTTCTCAAGTTGTGCATTTAGGAGTTAATCTCTAACTATAAGCAAATCTAAGCAAAATGCAACAAAAAGTAAGGTGCTTTTTGTTTAAGCTGTTCAAGTTAGACATTTTTGCCTGCCGACAAGTCCAAAGATGAGGTCTCACAATTACGCGACGAGTTTGGGCTTCATTGTCTCCAATTTATCTGTAAATGGTTCTTTTTGGTCCATTTTTGAAAGGAGCGTTTTCATTACAAAAAGTAATTTGCTTACGTACTACTAGTAGTAGTATAAAGTCTAATTCCGTTTTTAGTGCAATACAAAATAGTTAGTATTCCTTTCGGTCCGTAATATAAAGTATTTTGATTTGTCATATGTTTAACCTAATATGTATTTTTAATTGACAAAAAAAATCTTAAAAATATATTTCTTAATAATCAAGAGAACACAATGAATGTAAAAATATATTTTAAAAATTGTTTTGTCAAACAAAAACGCACACCAAGTATAATCTAAGACAAATAAAAAATTTAAAATACCTTATATTAAGGATCGGAGGAAGTATGATACATTTAAATTATAAGTTAAATATGGATTTTCAAAAGGATTTGATAGTGATTTTCTATTTACCTTTAGGTAACAAAAAATAAAGCGTATTACAAATTTACATTTACCATGCAAGTCCACGTCATTTTTTATTTTTATTTTATTTTTTTGAAATAAACTACAACTTCCAAAAGTTGTAAGAGAACTTGGACAAGCATGCATGTGATCTGGAAAAATGTAAAGTTTACAAAACTTCATACTGAATATGGTATAAAATGATTCTTTTTCTTTAACAGAAAAAAAAAACTAAAAAGGACAAATTCAAATTGGGAAAAACAATAATCAAATTTAAGCGACAATATCAATGTGACAAACATACATAATTTAATTAATATATATTTGTTTGTTATCATAGAAAGAAGACAAAGCCATCAATGGAGGAATGTGGGTCAATTACAGTGGTCCATGATAATACCACGTTACAAAAATTTAAAACACCACCATTTCCATTTTTAGTTGAATCCTCAATATTCACGAATCACGCCTTCAGTTTTGTTTTTCCCTTTCAAGTTTCAAATCTGAATACTAACGTTACTTAAATGTTTGACTCGTACTTGATAAATTAAATGTAGTAGAATTCCTTTAAATTAGTAGTGTTGAAATCACAAAAATTTATTAATCTAGATAATTATTAAAGGATCAATAAATTATTTAAAAAGCTTACTTAAGGGGAAAAAAAGAAGAAAAGAACCGTTATTAAATTACCATCCGAGTTAAGCAAGTTTTAAAAATTTTATTTTCTCAACACTAAAATGAATGCAGTAGTTCATATGTTACTAAATATTTATAGTTATTATTTTTTTATTTAGAGTAAGTATTTAATTTATAGTATTGTTTGGACCAATAGACATGTAGGGAATTTTTTAAAACATTATTATCTCATTATTTTATATATTTTGCTCACTTTTTGTACTGATATCAAATTGGGACGGAAGGAAATTTTTAATTACTCGAAATCAATAATTTATTAATTATTTATTTATCGACATTTAACTATAAATAACCCTTCAATCATATGCTTAGTAAATCCTTGTATAAATAATACATTTCAATCCTTAGTAAACCCTTATCAAATCTAGTCAAGTTCACAGTTCACTGAGTTGAGTGACTTCACTTCGATTGGGTCGGAAAGATGTCATTTTGTCCCGTGATTTCCTCCATTCTCATTTTCTTTTTTTTAGTATTTTAATTAAATAGCCGCTATTAGAGTTGTGCCACAAGCTTTAATATTTGTACTCATCAATTCCCTAAAATTTCTCCGCAACTTATTTTATTTCCATCCGTGATATACTCTACGCATACAGTTTAGACTTCTAGTGTAAATCCATCTCTCTCCCTTTAAACAAATCCAGGTGCTGTGATTTTTTTATCAGCATTTTGGGGAGTTTAAAATCCAATGCTGTGATTTTTGTAGCATATAGGGAAGTTCAATTCTTCAGCATTTAGGAAGAAAAATGTTGGATTTTTTAATTAAGAAGGATGTTAGAAAGATTCTCAAGAGGAAGGATAGTGATGCTGGGGAAAAAGGTGCGTATTTTTTCTATGTTCTACTTCAGTTCCTTCGTAATTCATGTTGTTTTGTTTCTGGGATTTTGGTTTTTTTTTCAGTTCTAATCGCAAGTTTGAATCTTTTGTCCAATTGTGTGGGCGGGTTTGCTTTGCTTTGCTGGTGATGATTGAATTGAGAAATGATGCTTTGCTTTATGTCCACTTCATTGTTTCTCTGTTTGATATATCATCTCCGGCAGTAATTGGCCTGTCTTGTGTGATCTAATGGCATGCAATTGAAGTAAAAGGTGGCGGTAATATGTTCCAAATGCCATGCTTTATGTTGGGAGTTTCGAGTTAGCAAGTTAAACTGGGGTGAATTGTAAAAGCTAGGCTAACTGTGCTAATTAATGGTTCCTTGATGTACAAATCAGAAAGCAAAAAATGCGATGTGGACACTTGGTTATCTCGCTCACGCTTGGAATCTGAATCTAATTGTAAGCATTGTCGAAGTGAAGCCTTGTAATGACTTGTTTCTGAGTAGGTTGGCTACAGTTGACTGCAAGTGCCATTTTGGCTTATAGAATTTATTAGTGAAAAGCTTCTTTTTTCACTGGTGTCTTGTTTGTGTTCTGTTGGAATGATCCAAATACCTTTTCCGTGAAGAATATACTTCATGTTGCTGTTGATTGGATTGATTATCTAAGCTGAGGCAGTTTGGAGCAGTTTGGGTGGCTGTGCCGGGGGCGTGGGATGAATCTGTTTCCCACCGGCCTGCTGCTCTGATGAGCTGGTTTTCTCCTGCCTCAAGTACAATGCCAACGTGTACCGTTTGCCATCGTCTACGGATGTGTTCGTCCCATCTAAAGTTTCGAACTGACCACCTGTCTAATTTCTTGTCATTTATTTAAATATGATGGTGGAACATCTCATTTCTTTTTGAAAAGCTTGTTTTTGTCAGTAATCCGCTAAACTGCAGTCTGTTGGTTATGCTATTTTGTGCCCCATATCATTGATCAACCTATCCATTCCCAAACTGCCTGTCTTCAACGGCTTGGCAGTTCGACTTATGTAAATCTGATTTTTGTTTAGTACCTGCTTAGGGGCACCTTAGTGCATTTGATCTTATGTACTTACCCCTTTTCCATTTATTGTTTATTCTTGTGATTTATGTTGATCAAGTTAGGCTTTTTCCAGAGCTGCAGTCATATCTTTAAATTCTCTTACATGAATTTTGTTTGATTAACTATGCAGGACGGGCTTTGGAGGACGCTCGAGCATCACTATTTAACAAATTACAGTTATTAGGAGGAGCAAAGCGTCAGCAGCAACCCTTGCTTGCGCCTTCTTTTGCCCTTACCTTCAACTTTTTGGTTTCTGTCAGCATAATTCTGATGAACAAATTGGTTGGTTAAATCCTCTTCTCCTATCATCATTAATGCACATGCAAAAGTTTTCACAATCTCATGAATGCCCTTTTCGACTTGTGCAGGTACTTGTCAAAACTGGTTTTAACTATCCAATATCTTTAACTTTTATTCACTACATATGTAGCTGGTTCATCATGGCCATTTTAAATGCTTTATCCATTATTTCCCTGACTTCTCCGTCAAGGTCGACCAAATATTTTTCACTGTTATCACTTGGTATAGTTATGTCTCTGTCTACTGGCCTTGCGAATGTCAGCCTGAAATATAATAGGTGAGTTGCAGCTTCATCTTTCCACTTTCTTGAAAATCACGCCTAGTACCAATTCTGAATGCTAATGAAGATGTGTATATTTCCAGTGTTGGATTTTATCAAATGGCCAAGATTGCAGTGACACCAGCTATAGTTTTAGCTGAATTCGTGCTCTTCAGCAAAAGGATCTCTGTTAAAAAGGTGTGCAGTCACTTGTTTACCTTAATTGATTTCATGAGAAACTGGCTCTCCCTCCATTGTTAATAAACATCCATATGTATTTCAACTTAACTACACATCCATATGTAAGCTTGTCAGTGTGGAATTCTAGTTCACGATGTTGACATGAGAAGATATTTTTTGTCTGGACATGCTTTACATGTCAATGGCAATTATCTTTCCACATGTAGAGCTGTGGAATTTGCAATTGACTAGTTTGGGCAGATTGAATCATGGATAGGTTGTGGTGAATTGGTAGAGTATGATACTCCCTCCATTCCAAAATAAGTGTCGTCCTACACTTTGCACATAGTTTAAGAAACTCTTAAATAGGGTAATAAAATTACTTGAATATCCTCAACCAACCCCATTATAAAATTGTCCACCAATAGCATCAACTCTTTTGAGGGTAATTTTGGGAACTTTTGACAAAAAGTACATTGAAATGTGAGAACGACACTTATTTTGGAATTTCTCCATTTTGCTAAAACGACACTTATTTTGGAATGGAGGGAGTACATGGAATCATTAGAATTTTTGAAAATCTAATATCTAAAACCATGGGAGTCTTGTAAATATTGCTTTAAAGGAGGAGAAAAACCTTCATTCGCCCACATTTTTGTCAGTTTTTAAGTAATTAGTGTGTAGTAGAGATATTGAGCGCGTGCTGAATTTGAAGTTTGACAATAATTTGGTTAAAAGCTCAATGAGTTTCTGTACAGTTTTGGCCTACAAGTTACTGTATTTCCACAATTTTGAATGTCAGGGCTCACTTTTGTGGAGTTTGAATTTTTGATTTTTTTTTCTGGGTTGCATTAATTTAATTGAGATTTTTGGGGACTTGAATGAAGTCTTCTTTATTTCCGTAGCCAATGCAGCCAATGCATCTGCAAATCTTTTGAGCTGCTTATATTGATATTTTCACCAATTCGCAAGTGCACTTTTCATTTTTTTCTTATTTTTCATTTTTCTTTAAAAAATTTTAAATGCATTTTTTGCTTGATTTTGTGGACCAGGTTGCTGCACTTGCTGTAGTATCAATTGGTGTTGCTGTTGCAACAGTTACAGATCTTCAATTTCACTTTTTTGGTGCATGCGTAGCCGTAGCATGGATAATCCCCAGTGCAGTTAATAAAATATTGTGGTCCAATCTACAGCAGCAGGAAAACTGGACTGCTTTGGCGTAAGTTACATATTCACTGAAATTCATTATCCTGGAGTTTTGCATCTTATTCAGACGCATTGGCAGTTTATTACTGAGACTACAGTATGTTCTCCATCGTCATTGGCAGTTTTCTCTCAGCAAAGCACATAATGACTTTTAAAGAAACAAAAATTTTAGATCTGCCTTGAAGATCATCTAATAGCATTAGTGAACTTGGTTTATTTTCTGGGCTCTTCTTATAGACCATTATATAATGTACAACCGTCCTTTTAAACAGTTCTCTAATACATGAAGCAAATCTGCAGGTTAATGTGGAAAACCACGCCTGTTACATTGTTCTTTTTGTTAACGATGATGCCATATCTCGATCCGCCGGGTGTCTTCTCCTTCAATTGGAATTTTCAAAATTCTGCAACTATTGGCGGTTCTGCTGTTCTGGGCTTCTTGCTTCAATGGTCAGGTGCCTTAGCGCTTGGGTAAGTATTGTGTTAAAGCTTCACCTTGTTTTCTCTATGCTTTTTATTTTCCTAAATGCCTTGCTTTTAGCTCGTGAACTTGTTACTGAAACTGAAAGTCTATGGAATGATACATATTCCTCTATGCATTGTCACCTGAAGCTGACAGCAAACGTTTTTCCTTGGTTGAAAACTGCTAATGACCTCTGAACATTGTAGAAATTACTTAATTATTCTCTGGTGCTTCATTTTTCTCCTGAAACATTTTGCAGGGCAACGTCTGCAACCACACATGTAGTCCTTGGACAGTTCAAAACTTGTATCATTCTTCTCGGAGGATATTTTCTCTTCGGTTCAAATCCAGGAATCATCAGCATTATGGGAGCAGTTGTTGCTCTTGCGGGTATGTCCTTCTACACATACCTAAATTTGCAACCCCAGCAACAAGCAGGCAAAACATCTCCTCGGCAGTCTTCATTCTCATTACCGAAATCCAAGCTTAGCAAAGAAAATGGAGATGCCCATGATGGAAGTTATGGGGATGAACATGTCTAGCTTTTCCTAACGCCAGCCAAGATTCTTTTCATAACCCTACACATTCAGGAATAGAACCGATTGTTCGTGTGATCTTTCTGATAGCTAACAACAACATTATGCTGATTGCCGTCTGTGAATGAAGGGACTGTATATGATCTCCAATTGCTCCAAAGGTTCCGCATTCTGTACATGTAATCTTTTAGGCGAGTCGAGACATATTCTTTTCCTCTACTGAATTTCGAACCAGAGAGCTCATGCTCCACATTTTACTGGCAACAGCCACTTCAGGTTTGCTTGTGAAAAAGAGTGGCCTGTGCTACAGTTTCTTGTTTGACTAGTCTATTGTTTGTACAGAGACATTCTTTCACATTAGGAGGACAGGCACTAACTTGTGTTCATTTTTCAATAACTAACTTTCTTGGTCTATCTAATTGTTCAAATATATACTTGCCTGCACGTGTTTTTGCAATATTTTCCTGGCATCTGGTTATTGACGCCATGAATTAACTGCATTTCAAAATTTTTAAACTTTAGATATTGTGATAATAATATTTCCTTTATCCCGAAAAATAGTATCATACTGAATTTTGATATGTGTACTAAAAACACCGCAAATTATTTTTTCTAGGAAGAAGGATCTAACAAAATATTGTTTGTTTCAATGTACTCCGTAATTCCTCAAATACGTTTAGGGCAGCGCCTGCAAACACACATGGTACATGATAAAGATGGTAAGAAAGGCTTGATGGATTCAAAACAGAGGGAGCGTTACCAAAGACGGTAGCTAGCAAGCTCTTCACATCATGAATGAAAACCACCTTATTGGATTTCACATAATTTGTTGATAACAATAATTCCCTCATCCCATTCCAGAACTCAAGAATATCATCATCCTCCATATCGGGCATATCTTTTTCCACTATTATGATCGATTTCTCCCTCAACAAGGCCACATCTTTCTTCGACTTTATGAGCCCACACATTTTCTTAACGAAATCCCTCAATGGGGTCATCCATCAATTCGATTAGGCTTCTCTGCCTTCTCTGTGATATCGTGATCTTTTAAAATTATCTGGCACATGATATCAAGGATGTGCTTAGATATCGGTGGCATCAGCTCCCCAACAATATCCTCAAGATGGTCTTTGTCTTCAGTGTAAAAAGAAAAAAAAGTTAGAATAGAACAAAACAGAGGGATACTCTGTTTTTTAAAATTATGTAAAAGAGTTTCAACATGAATACATTTAGTTGAGTACCTGGAAAACGCAGTAAAACAACAATAGGAGAATTCTCCAAACAGAAGAACAAGAACATGGCCATTGCTTTCACATCATCTGAACGGAGATCATCATTCTCACTGGACATAGTTAGAACACTGCTCTGTAGCGTGCGGCCAATAAGTTCAGTCGGGATTTGATTCTCCAGCATGAACAAATCAGGAACCAATTTCTCAGGATCCAATTCAAATTCGGCCAACAACCCATGCCAAGACGAATCTTTAGAGTTCTGTTTTCGATAATATTCACGGATGAAACTCCACAAGAACACCACATCCAACACCGCGATCCAGGACAACATCATCGGAGACAGGTGGAGAAGAAGCTGCTCGTCGTACCAAGAACGGAATGTGTTTGCCAAATCCGACGAACTTTCTTTCAGGCAACGGGAGAAAGGTTTGAAACGTTCCTTGTCGAAGAGATAAAAGGACGTTCTGACCAGATCATTCTTGAAGATTGTCATGTTCTGAACTTCAGGACGGAAATGATGGTATGGGCCGAGGCCTACAAATTGAGGGGCATAAGCCTCCGGCTTCATCTGCTTTAGGCTGTCGGAAATCCGATTCACGGTGCTCCCAATTGGCCGGCTTCCTAAGAAATTGGTCTCCAGATCTTTTAGCCATTGTTCTTGGCTCTGGATGGGAGTGTGCTTGAAGCTGGAGTCATGATGGTTTTATTTTTTTATTTTTTATTATTATTTTTTTACATGGGAATTAAAATGGAGTTTGTACTTAGCTAGCTACTCCCTCCATTTCAAAATATAGGTTGTTTTAGGTTTGAGGAGATTTTTCAAAATGTAGGTCGTTTTACAAATTCTAAGCAAATTAATGACTATTTTTCCAACTTTACCCTCAATAAATAATGTTAATTTATTTTTATTTAGTCTTGTTTATAATTTAAATGTAATTAATGAGGAGTAAAAATATATTTAACACATAAATTAATTGTTGGATGATTGTGTCCTTAGTTTACGTGCCAAGTCTAAAAAGACTTACATTTTGAAATGTAGGGAGTAATTTTGATTTCGATTCCCACCACACACCTCTGATAGCTAAGCTATATAGTACTCCCTCCGTTCCAAAATAAGTGTCGTTTTAGTAAAATAGAGAAATTTCAAAATAAGTGTCGTTCTCACATTTCAATGTACTTTTGTCTAAATCTTCCAAAATTACCCTAAAAAAAATAATACTATTGGTGGACATTTTTTTAATGGGGTTAGTTGAGGATATTCAAGTAATTTTATTACCCTATTTAAGAGTTTCTTAAATTATGTGCAAAGTGTAGGATGACACTTATTTTGGAATGGAGGGAGTATGTTACCTTGTGTGCTACTTGGATAAGAAACGAAACTCAGACAAATTTTTTTGGGACTAAAGAGATATGTAAAAAGAGTAGTGATGGTTGTTAATCCACTATTAAATTAGTGACTGTCTGTATAATCATCTGATTTAATTTTAATAATACAGTAATCTTATGTTTTTTCAGGCTTTCACATTTTCTTTTGGATACATGGTATAAAGCACCTTGTCATTATATTATTTTGGGTCCTAGCTAATTTTACTAGGTATAATATTGTCTCACATCTGGTGTGGTAACCCATCTTCACCCTTTCAGAAGCACATGTTTTCTTCGACTTTTTATTCCTAGCCACGACTTACGTGTGTGTGTGTGTGTGTATTTTTTTTTTTTTTTTGGTATATTAAAGGAGATAAAGCCTGTAAACTAAGACAAAACAGAACGTTGGTAGAAAACACCAATTACATCATTTCATGGTGTAACCAGGGTTTTACCACATCCGGCGGGTCATCCAATACCAATACTCCTCCAGGACTAGTAGATGCCAAAACTGTTAGTGAATCCGTAACAAAATTCGATTCCCGGTAAATGTGTTTTAACTCAACAGACTACGGGCTCTGGACCAAATCGCGACGCCAGTACTAAATCCTGATGCAAGGCAAGAACATCCTCTTTCCCCTTCACAATCTTAACCACAGACTGACTGTTTATCTTGGTAATAATCTGCTTCTTCCCACAATCCCAAGCAAAGGTTAGACCCTGGAATAAAGTCCAAAATTCAGCACCAGTGATCAAACAAAAGCCAATATTCATTATAAAATCATTGATACTAAAATTACTGTCTTAACTAATTCTGATACTACCGAAAGTCCCTCTGAAAACACAAACATCTCTTATACATATTTTAATTAATCACCGGTGAAAATAGATTTGAACTCCTCAGGAACACTGATTAAGCATAACAATGATTTGATGTTTTGGTCGATCAGCCAGCATAAAACCTGAACTACTGGCCCATTATATTCCATTCATTCATGTATTCTTCTTTTGCTTTTGGGTCAATACCGACCCAATTAGACATATAACATATGTATGAATCCAGAAAACTTTGGATCATCAATCGGTAAAGTGAGTAGAATATAACGCATGAATGAAACCATATAATTTTCCTGCATATATATGGCATAAAACCCTACAACGAAGGCATTATTAAAACCCTACAATCCCCATTTTAATGAAACATAGTACCCTGATTTGATTTCTGTTTCATTCTTTCCTAAATAAGAAGAAATTATTAAAAAAAAAAAACAACGTTCCTGATTTCACATATTAGTACATAGTTTCTCCATAAACAATCAAATTGAATCCATTGGATAATGATGAGAATCCCTAATTTGTAGGAATTAATTCCATATACAAAACCTAGCGCCTCATCACATGAATCCAAATTCCCATAAACTCCTTTCTTTCTCTCTGTCTGCATTTGAGTTTTACACACTTGTATTTTTATTTATAATTTGCATTCTTTCCAATGGATCCGACCGACTCTGATCTGGAGAGGAAGAGGGATGACGCTTTTCTTTTGGTTTCAACTTCAAGCCCTCCCGATGTAATCCTTTTCTTATAGTACTTAGTTTCTTCAATTTGTATTTTACTTTTATTTTTTTTGATTTTCTGTAATCCTTTTGATTTTAATTAAAGATATGATTTGATCCTTGAACGGTGAATGATCTTTAATTTTTGGGGATTTTATTCACCAGGGGAATGAACTACGCATGTCAATTCATCTACGTTTAATTAGGGTTTTGGGGTAAAATTCTCCGAAAGTACTGTTAAATCACTCTTTTTATTTTATTTTTTTTTTTTATTGTTATTGCAGAGTACGTCGTCGCCTTCTTCATCTCCTTCTTCTTTTTTATGGTTAGTTTTTGTTGTTCACATGTATTCTAATACTGTTTACACCTGCCTCCCACAAAAATAGTTTACATTAAATTTGAGATTCGCTATATTTTACTGAGTGCTTGTGTGGACTGTGTTTAGTATTATTACCATCTTACTCAATGCGTTTGTTTCAACATTTTTTAATTGCTTGCTAACTATTTTTCCTGTTCTGAAATTATTTTCTAAGTTTCATTTTTAGTATAAATTTACTAAAAGTGAAAATCTAAACTGGATGTTAATTTTGAGAGAAAGAGATGATTTTCTTTTAAATCCTTCACCAGAGGTTTCGAGCTTAATGCATATATACATATTTATTATTTATTTATTTCCCTAGAGCTTTGTTTCAACATTCAGGCTTTAAATTTTATCAAACATGTTTTGGTTTTCCAATAGTATAGTGAAAGGCTTATGTAGATATAGTGGTTTTGATCTTTAGGTAGTTCAGTAGTTCTTCAAGTTTTTGGTTGTTCGATTGAAATTTTGAATCCTATACATGTAGGAAACATGTGATGGGTGATTTTTACCGAAGGATGAAGGAATGTGTGACGTGGTACCAACAGCTTGAAAGAAATCATTTTTCAGAAATTCAGAGGCTCAAGGATTTAGTGGAAGCTAATGAGAAGAAATCTAATGAAACTGAAGAAAAGTTGAAGTAAAGAAAGAGGTGGGTTTCGATTTAATTTCATTAGAGGTTTAATTATTTTGCCCCTAACTAGCACAGCATAAGAACCAAAAAGATAATAATAATAATAATAATAATAATAATAATAATAATAAGAAGAAGAAGAAGAAGAAGAAGAAGAAGAAGAAGAAGAACTTTGGCTCAGAGTTCGATGAATTTAGGTACGATGTTTGATTAGTATATTTTCAAATAAAAATAAAAATTCAAATAATATAATTAATTATTTCGAGATGGATAGAGTAAATTGATTAATGAATCGAATTCATTTCTTAATTAGGTAGTTACGTATGCACTTAGTAAAATATTAATGAATCGAATTCATTGAATTTCTTAATTAGGTAGTTACGTATGCGCTTAGTAAAATAGAAGACGACGGGGTGTCAATTTTCGATACGATGACACGATTTACAGAGATAATTCGACACAACACAACACGATTGACACGATTTGAATTTTTATAAATTTTTACTCTAAAAATCTTATTAATCATGTGAAATACTTAACACAAAATTGACCCGCTAACTTAAATCAACACCTATTGTGCACAAAGGCAATAATGAGAAGACCTCAAATAAGATAGAGATGATGCAGGAGGTGTTAGCTCCACGGATCAAACGGAAGAAGAACTTACTTCCGCTTCCACATAGTAATCTAGACTAGAAGAACAAACGGTAGACGTTGGTTTAATTAACTAGTTCCACTGGTATGAATTATAAGATACAAATTAAGGTACGTTGGTTTAATTAACTATTTCCATTGGTATGAATTATAAGATACAAATTAAGGTCATGTATGATGATGGTTTGTTTTAGTTTTTGGTTTGAGTTTGAAATGTGATTTAAAATGTGTTTTAAGATAAAATTTAAATTATTATTTGGATAGTTTTTTAATTAAAATAATACTAGATATTTGGCCCGAGCGTGTCCGGCCGGCCTCCATGTACTTTAATATAATAATACTAATATTAATAAATATAGTTGTGAAGAATAAGAATATTAAAAAAAATATTCTGCTCTGAAGTGTGTACTTTTTATTCATGAAAATTGGAAAAGACAACACATAAAAAAAAAAAGAAGAAAATTTAATTGACTTCATACGTAGTTAATACAATAGAATTGTTCAAAATGTGTAATACAAAAAATTATAGTCCTCTCTATATTGATTCAAATTCCATTAATTTCACTATGGAAAATAATGGCATATCGCCATTCAATATTAACAACCCCCTCCCCCCGTGGGAAAGCCTGTATAATAAACGGATCAGCTTCTTTAGTGTTTCTATCAAGCTCAACAGGTCCGTCTCTAGGAGGAACTGGCAAATGATTTGTCAAGTTTAAAGTGATCAGTCTTCATAATCTTTTCGAGCCGCTCGTTTGCGTTATCATACATATCAGAATCAACATCTTTCTTGTGCTAGTAAAAAGTACACAGCTCAGCTGCACAATAAAGAATCTGTATCACCTATAAGTTAAAGCATAAAGAAGAATACTATTTATAACACAGTATTAAGTAAAAACTAATGTTATAAAAATAAGTAAAGTTGAGATATTAAAAGCGTTTACCTTTCACTAAAACATTTCTTTTTCTAAAACAATATATGTATATTCATAATGATGAAAGTAAAACATCAAAACCAGTGTTAT